TGAACAGTCGGGTAGTCTTCGGAACATGTCATCATTTTAATAGTTTCATATCATTCTCATCACACCTCTTATTCAGATAAAAATCATGAACAAAATAGTTTTGCAGAGCTTGAAGAATCTAGTGTTTCTAAAACTCAAACAGAACAAGAAATCCAGTTGCCATCCTTTGTCAATTTCCTCAAACGGCTGAGTCGGTGACATGACACTGGAGCAAAACAGAAGATTCTAGACTTCAATAAAGTTCGAAAAAATTTTGAAAAATGAAGTACGAAAAAATACAACTATACTTTATTAGAACTGTTGAACAAGTAAAATCAACAGAGGAATCAAACAGAACGTGTAAGTCACTCTCGCTCCGTTTTCGGTTTCCACTGCTGGTTGAATCGTCGGTGGGGGCACATCAGGAATAGCCGGTTCCGTGTTCCATGACGCCTTGCACAATCCACTCGCCGCTTTTCCATTAGGGCACTGGGATCCAGGCGGACCATGTTTGACCTCAGACTCGGCTTCAGTGTTCCTGAAAAATGATATTCGGCGTTTACACATCTCTGATTGATAACTCACTTTGGAGCAAACACAACTCTCCGAGAACGAACTGAGGTATAACCTAATGAAGACATATCACTAAATGGTGATTTAACAGTGTAAGATTCCCATGTTGTCGTATCACAGAAAGCAAATTCAGTTTGGAGGGGATGAATTTTTCCAGAATCGGTCTCGAGCTTGTCAGTAGTCTGGCATTGGTAACCATCTTTGGAACAAGATATAGATCTTTCCAGATCCGAATTGTATCGCTGGAATCATATCATTTTCATCAAATCATTAATGGCTAGCCGTTTTTAAAATGACTAAAAAAAACTCACAATCTCATGCATATTTGCAATCTGTTTCTCTTCAGCAACTTTGATCCTGTTATTGTTATGCACTTTGATCAAATCCACAAGCTCATTGTGGTCAAGCCCACATTTGACTACATCTGGAGGTTTTGGAGGGGAGGGGCTCATAACAACAGAGCAAGCTGCAACGATCGTTCACTCATTGCCTTCACAAAATTGGAAACTTACCAGTTGGGACGATGGATCCAATAACCAGGAGTGTCTGGAGAAGCAGCTTTACCATGTTGATCAGAAATTGTTGCTCGGATTGAACAAACTGCTTTCCTTTCTGATTCTTTCTCCTTTTATAGCAAAGTTTGGTGCCCTCACCGTTCTAGCATGACCAGCCTGTACCGTGTTACTCGGGCGATTCCTTTTGAAAGCTTTTCAGAAATTTTGAAGAATTTACGCGTGACGTGAACTGAGGAATACTTCGGGAGATGGTAATTAGTCGAAAAGGGGCATTCTAATAATATATGGGGACGTCATGCCCCCACGCGTGAAATAGAATCCTGGGGTCAAATTGAATGTAGCCACAATCAAAATTCAAAATATTCCCGAAAATTCACCCGTGAATTCACAAAAATGTCTGAACGAAAATCCCGAGAGCCAACTGACTACACCTTCCCCCAAGCTCAGCACGCTGGAAGCACGTGGGATACACCCTTTAAGAAACAGGCTTAGGAAAATCCCGGGAGCCAACTGACAGCACCTTTCCCCCAAGCTCAGCACGCTGGAAGCATAGTGAATACACCCTTTAAGAAACAGGCTTAGGAAAATCCCGGGAGCCAACTGACAGCACCTTCCCCCCAAGCTTAGCACCCTGGAAGCACGTAGGATACATCCTTTAAGAAACAGGCTTAGGAAAATCCCGGGAGCCAACTGACTACACCTTTCCCCCAAGTTCAGCACGCTGGAAGCATAGTGAATACACCCTTTAAGAAACAGGCTTAGGAAAATCCCGGGAGCCAACTGACAGCACCTTTCCCCCAAGCTCAGCACGCTGGAAGCATAGTGAATACACCCTTTAAGAAACAGGCTTAGGAAAATCCCGGGAGCCAACTGACAGCACCTTCCCCCCAAGCTTAGCACCCTGGAAGCACGTAGGATACATCCTTTAAGAAACAGGCTTAGGAAAATCCCGGGAGCCAACTGACAGCACCTTTCCCCCAAGCTCAGCACGCTGGAAGCATAGTGAATACACCCTTTAAGAAACAGGCTTAGGAAAATCCCGGGAGCCAACTGACAGCACCTTTCCCCCAAGCTCAGCACGCTGGAAGCATAGGGGAATACACCCTTTAAGAAACAGGCTTAAGAAAATCCCGGGAGCCAACTGACAGCACCTTCCCCCCAAGCTTAGCACCCTGGAAGCACGTAGGATACATCCCTTAAGAAACAGGTTAAGGAAAATCCCGGGGAGCCACCTGACGCACTCTTTCCCCCAAGCTCAGCATGCTTGGAA